CTTTATCTTGGCTGAATCCTTCTTTATAGTCCGGATCGTAGATTCGTTGACGCCATGCTGGCGCGCGAGATCAACTTGCCGTGTTCCTTTCTCCAAATCTTGAATAATTTGGTACTTCACCTCGTAGCTTAAGGAACGTCGTGTCCTCTTTGGCTTAGTGCCGCTGGGTCCAGGTAAGGAAAGGTTTTTCTCTGGGGGTGGTGGTCCGGCGGAAGCCATTTTACGGAACAATGGATGCGCGTTAATACGGAGTGGCCTTGAGGGATGAGACTGTCGCGGCTAGGTCAAGCGTCGTCTCTCCTCCCTCCCTCCCTGCCCCGGGTGGACACGTCATAATACTTTAAGCCAATTACAGCTAGCAGCAGAGGAGGGTAGGGATGCATGGCCAATCACAGGTCTTGTACGTCATATGACGTCAGTGATAACGCAACAAAGGCACACTGCGCAACCTTACCGTGCCGCTTGCCCAAGCGGAAGGAGGAGGAGGGAGGAGGAGGGAGAGGCAGGCAGGCGGGCAGGCGGGTGGCGCGTGGCGCGTGGGGAAAATCTAAAAATAGCGTCGCGCCGGACACTCTCCGCGTAATGGCGTTCGCGACCGCGAAATGTGAAAATGTTAGGTTCTGGCAAGGCACCGCGGTAACGGTGAAACGCGGATTGCGGGACCGCTTAATGTGAGGACCAACTGTATATGTATGTATATATATATATATATATATATATATATATATATATATATATATATATATATATATATATATATATATATATATATATATATATATATATATATATATATATATATATATATATACATATATTGGTAAAATCACACGGGGAAAAGGGAAACAACGGAGCACATTAGCTTTCGTCTTTATTCAAGACATCTTCAGAGGCAACTGGATTACATGGACAGAGAGAGGCTTAAATATACAGGGTGACCTTATTAAACATGAGGTCAGGTCATAATGATGTCATCTGCTAATCCCCACACCAACACACACGTAGATGAGCTTAAGAGAAAGGGGGCGACGTGACTAGTCAGGTCAGGTCAAAAATAAGGGACCCACTAAATAACTATCCTACATCTAGTTCCAAGGTTTTCAAAGCATTTTTAACCTTGGGCCACTGTCAAATAAATTTATGTAATATAATATTAGTTTTGAACTGACCATCACAAAGGTTTATTGATTTTTATTCCTTAATCAAACTAGCTTCAGCCAGAAGTCTTTCTGTGACACAAGATGATTTGAATACTTCTAAGCTTTTTTCCCAAGCAATGGGGTGATTATTATTCGTAACATGAACGAACAAGGCACTGCTTTCAGATGCTGTTCTGATATTGTACTTATGTTGTTTGATTCTGAGCTGCAATGTTTTTCCTGTCTGTCCTACATAATTACCATTACATTTGCTACATGGAATACAATAAACACTTCCATTTACATTCAAACTTGGGCTATTTTTTATTAACATATTGGTAATGGTTGAGTCATACTTGAAAACAACATTAATATTTAGTAATTTAAGGGACCGAACTAACGGGACAAATTCATTGCGATAGGGCAGAGTCAAAATATTCTGAAGTGTAGTAATTTGCCTGGTTTGAGTAGAATGAAAGGATTTCTTAGCCCTTTTAAAACAATGATCAACAAAAACAGAAGGGTACCCAAGTTTTTGTGCAATGGAACGAATGTGTTTCAATTCTTCATCAATAAATTCAGCGTCACAAGTACGCAAACATCTCAAGAACATAGCTGAAAAAACTGACATTTTGGTAGACTCCAGGTGATTTGATAAAAAATGTTTGAAACTGTCTACCTGTGTAGGCCTTCTGTACACCTTAAATTTGTTGTTTTGGCCATTTCTAATGATAAGCATATCAAGGAATGGAAGGGATCCATTTTGAATGTGATACTTGGGACAATATCATTAAGCTTGTCTAAAAATTCCAATGGGTCACTGTTTCTAGGCCAAAGACAAAGAACATCATCTACATATCTATACCATGGAGGAATAAAGTCTCCTATATTGGGTAGTAATCTAGCCTCAAAAAAATCCATATAAATACAGGCTAGAGGAGCAGAAAGATAATTACCCATGCCAAATATTTGCTTGTAAAACTTCCCATTTGCTCTAAACACATTGTCAGTTATGCATAACTCTATCAATTTGAGAAAAGTATCAAACTCACAGATGATCTTCTGGAAGAGGCTCACGCTCACGCCTGTGACTCCAGTTAAATCTAAGAGTTGCAATTTATCTTTAAGAAATGAAAGTGGGTCTTTCACAGGTACTCTAGTGAAAAGTGAATTTACATCAAAACTTATTAATTCACAAGGTTCATTGTGTTTCTTGAGTTTATCAATTAAATCACTGCTATTGTGTATCTGTGAATTAGATATTTGGCCTGTAAGAGAGGATACCATCTTTACCAACCATTTGGATAATTTGTAAACTCACGATAGGACGTAATGGATTGTTAAGATTGTGTGTTCTGATCAATCCATACATATAAGGTAAAGTGGGATTGATTTGAGAGAGCTGTTTGATGAGATCGGGGTTCTTTTTCAATAACATCTTCATTTTGGAATTAGATAACTTATTAATATTTTCCAGGGGATCTTTCGTAAGCTCACAATACAGTACGTGCTTTCATCACTTAGTAATGAATTCATCTTATCATTGTAGTCACTTTTATCCAAAATTACAACAGCATTGGACTTATTAGCCTTAGTAATATGGATATTCTCATTTCTTTTCAAGTTTATCAAGGCTGTTTCAAATCTTTTTGGATTGTTTGAAAATTTTTTTTTATGTAAAACACTATGTATACAACCTTTAGCTATGGAAATATCTTCATTTGTAACATCTATCGACTTATTCTTTTCCAGGTTGATTATACCTTTAGCAATAGTAAGCGGATTAACGCACCGTTGAGTGATAGAAAACTTCCTACCAAAACCAAGAACAAGTTTCTCATTTGTCTGTAGATCATAAGATGATAAGTTTATGAACAAATTTGGATCACTCAATATGGTCCAGTAACTCTTGTCAAACAGAGAATTTAATTTGGCATTTAACTTTCTTTTTTGGGCTTTGTCATTTTCACTAAGAAGTTGAAATACAAAATCACGAATGGTATGCCACTTATCAACACAAACACTGTTTTGCATAAGTATTTTACATTGAGCACTGTGCTTAAAAACCAAATTTACACTATCACTTGAACTCTTGATAAGTGAGTCCAGCAGCACTTTATCCAACTCAGAGAATGCTTGATTGTCCAGATTTCTTAGTCTACTTGGAAGACAGGACTTGGGAACAATTTTATCATCTCTGCAATCTTTCAAAAACTTCAACTTGTTTTTGAGACTATGAGCTTTCAGCAAATTCTTCTTGAAGTTATGGTAGATGGGGCGAAAATGAGGATGTGGTTGACAGATTAAGGACACAGCGTAGGAGAGACATGTAAGTTCCATAAAATCACACAGGGAAAAGGGAAACAACGGAGCACCTAAGCTTTCGTCTTTATTCAAGACATCTTCAGAGGCAACTGCATTACATGGACAGAGAGAGGCTTAAATATACAGGGTGACCTTATTAAACATGAGGTCAGGTCATAATAATGTCGTCCACTAATCCCCACACCAACACACACGTAGAGGAGCTTAAGAGAAAGGGGGCGACGTGACTAGTCAGGTCAGGTAAAAAATAAGGGACCCACAAAATAACTATCCTACATCTAGATCAAAGGTTTTCAAATCATTTTTAACCTTGGGCCACTGACAAATAAATTTATGTAACATATTATCAGTTTTGAACTGACCATCACTAAGGTTTATTGATTTTAATTCCTTAATCAAACTAGCTTCAACCAGAAGTCTTTCTGTGACACAAGATGATTTGAATACTTCTAAGCTTTTTTCCCATTGTGGATCTACATGATATATATATATACAGTATATATATATATATATATATATATATATATATATATATATATATATATATATATATATATATATATATATATATATATATATATATATATATATATATATATATATATATATATATATATATATATATATATATATATATATATATATATATATATATATATATATATATATATATATATATATATATATACACCAAGCCCGCTGAACTGACAGGGCACAGCAAACCAAGTAATGAACAAAAGAACATGGGATTGGCCCCAATAGACTCGCCCTAATCAAAATTACTTTTGACATATATATATATATATATATATATATATATATATATATATATATATATATATATATATATATATATATATATATATATATATATATATATATATATATATATATATATATATATATATATATATATATATATATATAATTTTTATTTTTTTAAATGGCCTTCAGCCTTTCCTTATAGCCACACCTTCGCCACCATTTTCTTACCTTAAAATTAAATATCCTAATACATAAGTAGCTGTCCTCTCTGTGTTGAGTTAGTTGAGCCGCAGATCTATGCGGGATTCAGTGACTGTAGCCTCATAGTCAATATCTGCAACTGTTGTTGGGTTTGGGGCCGATGCTCTCGTTCCCCTGAGGCAGAGCAAAGCCGACCGAAGGAGAGAGAAAGACAGTCGACATCTCATCCAGGCTGTAACATAACTTCTGGGCTGCTGCTTCTGTTCGGATAGCACCTCCGCGAGTCTGGCGTAGAAGCATCTTGCACTTGGTCCCATCCCACCAGAGGTTGTGAACATCAGAGGAGTGAAGCTGCCTTGATCAACGTTCTGATTTCTCTCCCCATATGCCCTTATCTTGTCGTTCTCGTTCCTCCTGTGTGCAGAATCGAGAGCTAAGTTACGGTGACATGCGGCCATGGGATAAAAAATCCTGATGTCGAAGAAGGCTCGCTGTCCCCACGTCCAGAATCCTCGAGCACTGACGACAACACGGGCTTCATTGGATGTGTTTGAAGTCCTATGTTGGAAATTCGCACCGTCCAATGGAAGGAGGGTCGGTTTTACACCGACATCACGGCAGATTTCCTTCAACATATTTGCTGTGAGATCCCTAAAATTACCACTACCAAAATTAAAGTTGAACTTTAACTAAGCAATGAATTTTGAATAAGAACTGAAACTTTTTTCCTGAACTTCCACTTTATCTATAATGATAAATTATAACTGAGCCAACCATAATTGAGTTCAGACTGTTTTTAAATGCCAGACTCTCCCCGCATTTCTTTAGCTGAGAGGTGTGACACCAATACAGTAGTGCCAGTCACCTTTGAGCTACACACACTGTGCTAACACTTATACAAAACAATTTAATCTTGTAATCTTTAAATACAATAAGAGTCCAGCTTACTGTTGGCTCAAGGACACTTTCACAAAACCTCATGATAAATAATTAGTTATAACTTGGTGACCAGATATTTGCGTTAGTCTAAAGAATTTAAAGTAAAGGTTATATGGTAGGTGCCATACAATCATTTGTCTAAATGAATCCCACTCATTTAAACTAAACTTTCACAAAGATGTCTCCGAACTTAAGCTCCGTCGGTCACGTAATCGCAGCCGACGAAACTGTCTTTGTATTTCATATAATATAATTCCCACTGCCACACTGGTGTTAAGACTGTCCATACCATTTGCAAGTGGAACTGCTACTTGAAGACCACCATTGAAACAAGCAAACTTTCTTGCTGCTTTACTAATGCCAGTCTCACCACCTATAATGATAACAACTTGAGGGGATATATTAGATATTTTCTGAAGGATTTGTATGTCATCATAATAATGAACTGGAAGCTGCACATTTTCAAAGTGAGAGAGGTGTTCTTCATCATCATAGCTGGGATCAGTAACTACTTTTTTCCCTTCACTGTTAATTTCATATACATTGACTGCGTCTTCTTCAATAAATAGTGAAGTACTATTTTTTGTCACAGGTTTAACTTTGGGTGAATTAAGAACTTGTATGTTCTCATTCACACAACCATCAAGGTCTATTTTTCGACATACGTCAGCTAAAAGAAGTGGAGCATATTCTGGTACGTAGTTGTGAATGACACTCCAGGTAGCCTTGACCGTCAGCTTTATCCGGAAGTGTGCGCCACACGCCGCTCGTAAGACTTTGGATTCCCACGGATCACAGCAACCTGCAAATGATAAATATCCTATTTATGTATTCCAAACACATGCAATATAACTTTCTTAAAAGATTCAGCCATCTCATTTTAAAGTACAGTAGCAGGCAGATAAACTGCCATCTACTTGTCAAGTTATGGTGCAAATCAGCCATTGTGTGGTAGGTATAGGGAAGTACCAGAGCTTAGTTCCGGCTGGTTGCTTCTGGAACCGGAACTTTATTATAGCGGTGCTGGTTACTGTTTCATAAATTAAAATATAATTCACTGTTAATACTTCTTATTTCTAATGGATAATGCAGCATAAAAAAAGTACTGAATGGTTAATAACGACTGATGTATGTGTAGCAAAATATTAATACATCTTAAATCATATTTACTGTACTGAGTGTGGAACAACTGTACAGTATTATTATCTTCTATTGTATTTTGTATTTATATGTGGTTTGAAACAATTTTGTACCATCTAATTTTCATAATTGTCTTTGTATCATTTAGTCATGCTGTATTATAATTTATTGATTTGGGTATTTATTGTATGATTTGTGTATTATCAGAAGGCACATATTTACAGTCAGTTATAAGTTCTACAAATTTATAATGCCGAGGATGCATTCAAATTTTCTGCTGTTCTCTGGGTCTGTGTTCCTGCACGGAAGTGAGAGAATTTTTCTCCAAAGAATTTCGAGCCAATTTCCATTCTGGCTATTGGAGAGTTCCGGGGACTGAGGATTCCAGGTAACGGATACCTTACGGTAGAATGTTTTTCATAGTTGGTGCTGTATGTTAGGTTTATATATCATATCAAGCACCAATGAGAAAAAACTTAAAAAAGTATGAAGAAATAAGCAATTTCCTGAGTACCGTACAACATTATGAGAGAAATGTAACAGTCTGAAGAAATTTGACTTTAAAAGACAATAAATGTGAACTAGAGGTAAACATACCCTTGATGAGAACCACTTGGTCCACTCCCACTGAGGCCAGTGTACGCAGGATCCCACCAAGGTTTCCTGGCTCTCGTACCTCATCAAGGATCACCGTCACTGGAACACTTTGTGACACATGTTGACTACTGCCAAATTCTGGCCGCTTAAACACACCTGCAGAATATTATTATATTTATGACTATATCCACTTAAAAAACACCTGTAGAGGAATTATTTATGACTTTGTCCACTTAAAAACACCTGTAGAGGAATTATCTATGACTTCATAACCAGTTAAAACACTTGTAAGGAATATTAATTAATATATGACCTTATGTTTACCTAAAAGATCCATTAAATACAACTCCGTATACAACTGTAAAGTACAATACTGTACAGTACATTTAATTATTGCTTTATTTTTATTTAAAACATATTATGCACAGTAGCTTAAAGAACTATCTGTGCATAAAGTATGGGAAACAATATGAGAACATGGACGATAAATTTTGTCTTTTCATGTACAGGTTGTACCTCTCTAGTCCGGCAACCTCGGGACCTGACCGGTGCCGGACCATGGAAATTGCCGGACCATGGAAATTCACCCTTTTCCTGGATAGATAGTGACTTGTGCTTATGCCTGGAAGCACTAGCACCACTTTCTCTGCCTCATGGTCTCTTTGAAGACATATTGAAGGGTTAAATGTCGTATAGTAGCTTCTCAAATTTCGCGAGTTTTTAATTCTTAATGTATTTTATTGGAACACACAAAAAAATAAATAAATAAAAATTTTGACGGCGGAAACTTGAATTTTGACGGGTTTGAACGGCCCGCCAACGTGCAGACGACGTGCATAATCGTGTAAACAGCGTCATTTCTCTTATGTACAAAAGATTCATTATTGTTTATTACTGAATGTCTTTTTTATTGAATTAATGTTTATGTGTGCAAAATGAGCAATAGAATTCATTAATAATACGTAGAATATTAAAACACACGAGGAAATGACACAGCATTGTTTTCGTTGATTACAAAACCAGTGACTGACTGGTTCTACATATAAAACTGAAGAAAATAAGACCTTGGTTGTAGCTGTAGTAAAATTAATATGGTTGTTTTAAGTAATGTTATTTAATGTTAATAAATGGAACAATAGAAGTAGCTAACGATAATGGTAAAGAAAAAGAGAGATCGCATATGTAAGTGCGCATGCGCACACGTGAAAACATATCGTCATTACTTTACATAAGAATATGAAAGCAACACTTATTTACTGTTCATATATATTTTAATTAATGTTTCTGAATTTGTTTTTATTGAATTAATGAAGGTGAGTATAAAATTAACAATACAATTTATTAATAATACGTGGAATATTAGAGGAGACGAGACGGCTGCCGGCATTGTTTATGTTAAAGCTTACGAAACCAGTGACTGATTGGTTCTACATATAAAACTGAAGAAAATAAGACCCTGAGTTTAGCTGTAGTAAAATTAATGTAAAAAATGAATATGGTTGCTTGAAGTACCTGTAATGTTATTTAATGTTAATAAATGGAACAATATAAGTAGCTAACCATTAATGGTAAAAAAAAAAGTGAGACTGCTCGTATGTAAGTGCGCACATGTGAAAATATATCGTCATTACTCTACATAAGAATATGAAAGCAACACTTATTTACTGCTCATATATATTGAAGGGTTAAATGTTGTACTCTGTATGAGAGAGAGAGAGAGAGAGAGAGAGAGAGAGAGAGAGAGAGAGAGAGCAAAGTAGTAGTAGTAGAAGGTGCGTGTGTGTGTGTGTGTGTGCTATTGCTTTAAACAATAATGAGTTGGTAAGTGTAAAAAATAATACTGTAATAATAATAATTGGATGATGATAATCCCCGGCATATTTCACGTTAGGATTGACTACCATAACCTAACCTAGTCTAGCCTAAGTTTCATTTATATTGTGTAAACTAAATTCAGTCCATTAACTCATATCCATACCTAATATACCGGGACAAGTAGTGAGTGAAGACAATGTCTGGAGCCTCTTGTATGGGGTCTTGTACAGCGGCAATTCGTTCAGAGCGTTAAGTTCCTCTAGCCCAAAATTTGGTGAGCCAGGTTTCAGCAGAGCAAGATGATGGTGTCTGGAGAAGTAGATGGCTTCAGGCATTACCCCAGCATCAAGGGCTTCTTTTATGATGCGATATCCCTCACCTACGAAAAACTTGTTCTCCTCTCGGAACTTACGGGAACTGATGTTATTTAATAAACTCCTGCAAAGAGAAGAGGACTATTAACAGTGGAGGATGGCCTACAGTGGAGGATGGTCTACAGTGGAGGATGGTCTACAGTGGAGGATGGTCTACAGTGGAGGATGGTCTACAGTGGAGGATGGTCTACAGTGGAGGATGGCCTACAGTGGAGGATGGTCTACAGTGGAGGATGGTCTACAGTGGAGGATGGCCTACAGTGGAGGATGGTCTACAGGAGAATGGCCTGTGGAGGATGGTCTACAGTGGAGGTGGTCTGAGAGGATGGAGTGGAGGATGGTCTACAGTGGAGGATGGTCTACAGTGGAGGATGGTCTACAGTGGAGGATGGTCTACAGTGGAGGATGGTCTACAGTGGAGGATGGCCTACAGTGGAGGATGGTCTACAGTGGAGGATGGTCTACAGTGGAGGATGGCCTACAGTGGAGGATGGTCTACAGTGGAGGATGGTCTACAGTGGAGGATGGCCTACAGTGGAGGATGGCCTACAGTGGAGGATGGTCTACAGTGGAGAGAACTATAACTAGAGAAGATTACCTTTTGTCTGAGGATTATAAATGAAAGGGCTTTATAGATTTAAAGGCTTTTGTATACCTTTGCAGAGTCTGAAAATACATATTATAGGTTAAAACACAAACTTTTATGTCTTAACCCTCTAAGTGCTGGAGGTTTTCTCGATGCTCAATAAAATTGTCAAGAGCACTGAACGAGTTGATACAAAGGAACATTTACTATAGACATACCTGTACTGCACTGTATTAAAAGCCTAGATATTCTTACCTGGGGTCATTAAACTGCAGTGTAACTAAGTAAACAAACTTACAGTAATTGTAGTTAGCATTATTTCTCAAAAGGGCCTACAGTACAGTATTCTTTTGGAAAGACAAAATTTCCCAGGACTCACTGTACAAATTTTTTTTATGAAACAAACAAGACTAAATTTTTAAGCATTAAGCTAAACTAGACTAACAAGAGGTACAGTATTTACAAAAAGCTGCCATAACAATCTATAATTTGTTTAAATATCAAACAGATTCAGCAGGATCATGTGAATTTAAAAATCAGAAAGGTTTTATACTGTATTCTCAAAATCAGAGTCCAGCCGCTTCAGGACCCAGTTGGAACCACAGGAGAGCATTTATATGTGGCTTTAGCTTCAAGAAGACATGACCCTAAATTATAATTATCTCTCACCTCACAAAATCCTTGGCATCCTTTAAGTGCTCAAATTGAACTTCATTTACTAAATTGTTGGTTTCGTGTTGTGAGTTATGGGCCAAGGTTGTGTGCACTTGATAATGTGAGGAATCCTCTTGTGGTGTTGACCCTGCAAGTAAATATACTATATATGTCAATTGTTTATTATAACATAGGAACAACAGGTGATAAAGAACTCTGCCTACAGTAACATATCCATCCAAAATTGACCTTAACATTTTCCAAGAGAATGAAGAGAATCTGCCAAACTTAACCTAGTTGGTATCTGTCCATGTTTACGGAAAGTGAATTTTTTACCTGCATGGTGAATCGGTAAGTTATTATTTTACATGAATAGAAATTACACATGTATACAGATGACTCGAGAAGTATTGTGTTATTACTATACATGAACAATAATTCTTAAATAAAGAAAAAGATTAAAACACTAGTAAATAAATAAATTACAGAACAAATGAAGAATTTTTGTGTTATTACTATACATGAATATTAATTATTAATAAAGAAAACGATTCAACATAAGTAATTAAACAAAATACAGAACAAAGGGTGATTTGGCACCAGTGCATAAAGCACCGAGCAGCGAGATGATTGCAGGCGTATTAACAATGTTTTTATTATTTACTTTCATCTTTAATAAATTGTCTTAGTGTTTTTTTACTATTTTCTATCCCAAGCAACAGTTATTTTCGTGCATATATTGATGGGTAAAGCAATGGTTACGAAATGGATTGGTGACGATATGGGCAGACCCACAAAAGTTATAGTCAATTACCTGTTGATTGTGAGGACTCTGGTTGTTGTCTTCCATCTTTACCATTTACTTTATTATTACTCAAAGTGTTGTTCTTAAATTGATCATTAAAAGTGATGTTAGTGAAGGTAAGACTCTCGTCCTTCATTACAGGGCTGTGGACCCTCACGGGGCGCCTGGCATATCTACGGTAGTGTCTGAACACATTCACCCCACAACTACCAACTAATGTGTATAAACTCGGCCGCATTCTATACATCGTCTTATAATTTCCTTTTTCTCTTAAGACTGAAGACAACACAACGGTGACCACCACAGCTCTCCCTACAGTATAAACAAACACCTACATTGTCACTGAATAACCTAAATCATTACAGCTCCATTATTATAACTATAATTTTTTTATTTTAATGACACACATATCATCTATACATGTAACTAAGTTTTGCATCAAATTTTATATCAATTAAAGTAGTAATGAGAAGTTTGTGTTTAATATTATACCCGCGGTCCCTCGCCGGCCTCCTGTGTTCATGTTGGAAAATTTCCACAAATTTACCTGACGACATATATTTATTGATATTCATAAAATAAGAATAATATAACATAAATATACCAAAAGAAATTACGTCACGTTTACACTTAAACTCTTCCTTAACTAGATATGTTTACGTAACATCAGGAATAAGAAAAAACTCACAAACTCTTCGTTTTCAATATGTTTATCATTAATGTAATAGTTGGCATAATTTATGTATATAACCAATATTTATTATGTTAAATCTTAAAAAAATTAACCTTAAGTTATAAAGCTATTTATAGTTTTGATTTATTGATTTCGTAAAGAATTAGTTATGAGACGTGGCCGTCAAACTATTTTAACATTGAACGTTGTCTTGTAAACAACCTGCTGGGCTAAACTACTCACGGAGGAAGAGTCTCTTAATGTATACTTCACCTTTATCCTCACTGTCACTGATCTGCTCATTAGCCGCTTGGGCAGTTGGTCACGTCTCTGTTAATCACTGTTGGTAAGTACAAGGCATGCACGGGCTCCTGAATCTGAACCTGCTTCAGTGTTGGTCAAGTCTGGTCTTGTAGCTACAGTATGTGGCCAGTTGTAGCGTACAGTATGTGGCCAGTTGTAGCGTACCGTATGTGGCCAGTTGTAGCGTACAGTATGTGGCCAGTTGTAGCGTACAGTATGTGGCCAGTTGTAGCGTACAGTATGTGGCCAGTTGTAGCGTACAGTATGTGGCCAGTTGTAGCGTACCGTATGTGGCCAGTTACCGTATGTGGCCAGTTGTAGCGTGTATGGCCAGTTGTAGCGTACAGTATGTAGCCAGTTGTAGACCGTATGTGGCCAGTTGTGATACCGTATGTAGTTAGTACGAGTATATGTGTCGCCAGTGTGTTAGCGTACAGTATGTGGCCAGCCAGATATGTGGCCAGTAGAAGTATGTGTGGCCGTACCGTATTGTATTGGCGTACCGTATGTGGCCAGTTGTAGCGTACAGTATGTGGCCAGTTGTAGAGTACCGTATGTGGCCAGTTGTAGCGTACAGTATGTGGCCAGTTGTAGAGTACCGTATGTGGCCAGTTGTCAGTTATCTTAGTATGGGCACACAAACGTACGTACATGTAGAGATATCACACTCAGGAATGAGGTAGAATAGAAACTCACAATGCGCTTTCTGTATATATATTGTTGTATAGCGCAGTGCTTAGGAGTGACTAGGTGGAGAAGCTTGCTCAGAGGTCCTGTAGGGCGAGGAGGTTTCTGAGGAAGCTGGGTGGTGAGGAGCTGTGAGAGGTGTTGCTGGTCCGGTAGCCGAGTGTAGAATGGTCTCCCAGGCCAGGCATGGCCGTATTTATAAAGTTTACGAGGATCAGGATTTGGGGTGAGCGTAGCGAGAGGGCCAATCACAGCGGCTCAAGCGTAAGGTGTGAAACGCTCTGATCCTGAGCTGGAGGTTGAAGGTCGAGACTAGGTTGGTGATCGTACCCCTACGTCCACTGCATAGACCTAGTCTCTTGGCGTAGCTGGCTGTACGCTGATTGGCTGGTCGGCGCGCGGCCGGAGCTCAGTTGGAAGTTGTAGGGGAGAGGAGCCACTACACAGTCACAACACTCTCTGGCAGAGAAGTTTGTAGGGATTTTCTCAGAACCTTCTTGTAATTTTTCTCGGAATTTCAGGAAAATACGCCCGATTTTCATCAAACCCTGGAAAAAATCCCCCGTCCCCGTAATTTTCTGGAATTATCTGGGTACCGCAAAAATTTTCTCGGTATTTTCCAGAAAATTTGCTCCTCGAAAAATATTTCCGAAACCCGGAATTTTCTGGAATATTCCGGTTTTGGGAATGCTTTTCTAAGAAAATTTCAATTCCGGCTATCGTAGAGTTTCATCTAAGAGGGATTCCAGCTAACGGGGATATTACTATTGTACAATTTACATCTGCGAGCCAGCTGTAGCTGCAGGGGTGTTTTCCTCACTCATGCTGCTGTTGTTCATCATGTGATGGCGTCCATACTTACTGTATATTTACTTGTACCCTTGTTCCTAGGTAGAGGAAGTTGCCAATTTATTTTTGGCCGAGTGTCAGAGGTGAAGGTTAATGTATTGCTGGATGAGAAGATGTGAATATTGTCTCTCTTTCTCTTCCTAAGTTGGTAGATATTATTGTAGTTATTTGTTGGATTATTTCACTAAAATGTTTTTGACTTTCCTTTCCACAGATGTGAACTGAAGAACAAATGGCAGTGGGAAGAGAAGCAGTAGACTGTGAGAACACTATGTTGGGTGCAGGTGTAAACAACAGTGGACATAGACAAAGTATTACCAACTGAACAAAAGAATTCTAAGGAGACAAGAAATTACTCTTCTTTGTGGAAATACTGTATGTTTTAAAATAATTCAAAACTTGTGTATAGATTCACCCCTTCATAAGACTTTTGTCACATTTAGCCAAAGTTTACCATCTGACATAAGTCCAGTAGTTTATATAACCCTTTGTATTATTGTTTACCAGCCATCACAAGTAGTGTACTGTACTTGTAGTGTATCGGCCTGAGTATTATTGTTTGCTGTACATGAGAGGAACTGTATATATAACAATAGTATACAGTATATAATTTTTGTACACTTCCCTGTTGAGTCTTTTTATAGAGTATGTTGTAAGTCATAAACAGTGTTTGTTAATGACAAGTATAGTTATATGTGTAACTCATTTTTTACATCATTTTTCACATTTAGTTGAAAGAGGTATAGAGGAACCTTGTTAATAATGGTGTAGTCACATGACAAACTGGATCTTCCATCACACTTACCTCCTCACTGTCCTCTCATCTCAGCATCATTACATCAGTGTCAGTAAATCACATTCACTAATTGATTTATAATTGATGTATGTTTCAGTTTTCATTGTCATATATAATTTACAGTAACAAGACATTAATAGTTTTTGTAGGAGGAAACATTTTCCCAGTTGAGTGTCACTAAAACCTTTAAACACACTACACAATTTTATAATGGAAGGTCACTCGGAGGAACAGTCAGTGTGTGTAAAATCACATCAAGTAACACCCGTGAAAGATCACTCACAACAGAAACCATTTGTGTGTTCTGAATGTTTTAAAGAATTTAAAAGAAAATGTGATTTAGTGAGACATACAAGAGTTCATACAGGAGAGAAGCCTTACCAGTGTTCAGAATGTCTTAAATATTTTTCTGATAAAAGCCACTTAATAATACATATGAGAAGCCATAAAGGAGAGAAACCTTATCAGTGTCCTGAGTGTCTGAAAGAATTCACAGTAAACTCGTCTTTAGTCACACACATGAGAATTCATACAGGAGAGAAACCATTTCAGTGTTCAGAGTGTTTTAAAGGCTTTCCCAAAAAATATGATCTCATTAGACATACAAGAGTGCACACTGGTCACAAACCTTATCAGTGTCCTGAGTGTCTGAAAGAATTCACAGTAAACTCGTCTTTAGTCACACACATGAGAATTCATACAGGAGAGAAACCATTTCAGTGTTCAGAGTGTTTTAAAGGCTTTTCCAAAAAATATGATCTCATTAGACATACAAGAGTGCACACTGGTCACAAACCTTATCAGTGTCCTGAGTGTCTGAAAGAATTTGCAGACAAAAGGAGTTTAATCACACATGTGAAAACTCATACTGGAGAAAAACCTCTTAAATGTTCAGAATGTTTTAAATATTTTATAGACGAACATCATTTGAGACAGCATATGAAAATTCATACAGGAAGAAGACCCTATCAGTGTTCTGAATGTCTGAAAGACTTTTCAGATAAAAGTCACTTAAGAACACACATGAGAACTCATACAGGAGAGAAACCATTCCAGTGTCCTGAGTGTTTTAGAGAATTATCCACCAAATCTTCTTTAGTCACACATATGATAAATCATACAGGAGAGAAACCATATCAGTGTTTAGAATGTCATCAAGGTTTTTACCAAAAATCTCTTCTGTTAACACACATGAAAGTTCACACAGAAAAACCTTTCCACTGTGTAAGATGCAGGAAAAACTTTAAAGTGAAAGATAGTTTAATATTACATGTAGAGAGATGTTACCAGACTGACCAAGTGGTCAACTCTCATCATTATGAAGGTGAAAGGTGTCAGGATTTGCACCATGACTTGAGCTTGTCTTGCCAACCAACAGTGGAGATGTGTGTTTCTGAAGGAGTGAATAATGATCCACTCTCAGTCATTTGTGAGACAAAAGCTTCATCAGGACCTGAGATAATTGACCAATCTTCTTTAAAGGTGGAGTGCCAGGAAGAACTAGTAGTTGATGTTAATCCTTCTTGTCTGTTTGGGATAGAATATAACTCCTAGGTAATTTACATAAGCCTTATGTTAGTATGTATGCTTTAATCCTGTTTGTCTTATTCAGCTTTTGTCAAATTACACAGTCATTCCACCTGATGTCTAATTAAAGTTATATCCACAGCAGTAGAATTTTTTGGGTCCTTTCAGTCTTATTTGATAATCACTTAAGAGTGTTAAAACAGGTGCCATTATCCCATTGGCTGTCACAACTCTTGGTATAAACAACTCAGCTATTATTATATTTTGTTGAGCAACTGTTGCAGTAGAAGTAGGATGTATTTGATTTACATTAGGAGTCCCTACTAAGTCTCTGCTGACTTTTTCCATTCTATCTACAGGTACTGTAGCTGTGACATTTGTCATTGGCTCAACTACTTGGAATTTGTTTCTATGTTCTTTCACTTTAATCACATACTGACCTGTGAAATTAGGCAAGAGTATTGATGTGCGTTCCTGCGCTTTTATCATTACTGTGTCTCCTATTTCTAGAGTTATAGGCTTAGCTTTTTTATGTTGCCTGCAGATCATTTCAGCACGTGAGGCTGCTAAATGTTTTCGTACTTTTCCTTGGATGCTTGTGAAAACATTGATTTGGTTATTGGCATAGTCATCCATGTTGTACACAGGTTGTGGGGTTCCTGCTAGTAGATCATATGGCAAGTGTTTATCGGTACCATAAATTATGTAGTATGGCTGTTTGCCTGTAAAGCTATTTATAGATCCATTCATGGGTGCTGCAACTTGTGGAAGCCATTCCTCCCATGAACTATCCATTGGATTCACCACATGTCGGAGAATCTCAAGAATTTTTCTATTTATACGCTCGACCAACCCATCTGAAGATGGATGGTAGGCGGTTGTGGCTTTAGATCATCACGTTGCACCACTGACATGATCTTTGCTGCCCGCCAGATACAGGAAATGTGCAGAGAACAGCATCGTGACCTGTACATGGCATTTGTCGACTTAACCAAGGCCTTTGACTCGGTCACCAGGGAAGCCCTCTGGTGGACCCTCAGCCAGTTTGGCTGCCCACCAAAATTCATTGTTATTGTGAGGCAATGTCACGATGGCATGAACAGCAGTGTGCTGCACAATGGCACCCAGTCTGAGTTCTTCCCCATCCAAACGGGTACAACAAGGATGTGCACTGGCACCAACTTTATTTTCCATTTTCTCGGCTGCCTTCTTTGTGCTAATGCCAATTTAGCCGGCGGGGTGGACATACAGTGCCAGGTGAAGGATCTATTCCAAATAAGACGACCCCAGGCAGGAACAAAGGTGTTGGCAGCTCCCATTAATGAATTTCAGTATGCAGACAACCTGACCCTTGTCGCTCACACTAAACGCGACCTACAGGAGATCCTGTACACCTATGCAGATGCATACTCGCACTTCGGCCTTGAGGTGAATATGCGTAAGACTCAGATTTTCTTTCAGCTTGTCCCAGGTTCAGCCACTCCTCCACCACCCATCCAGCTTAATGGTACTACCCTCTCTAATGTTACCCACTTTCGGTACCTCGGCTCCCACCTGTCCATCACCACAAACATCGATGAAAAGATTCAGCATCGGATCAGATGTACATCCCAAGCTTTTGCTAGACTCTGTACCCGTTTCCTCAGCTGTAGGTAGCTGAAATTATCTACAAAGCTGGTGGTTAGTGGACATGAGAGTGTGGTGGGTGGTCACGGGAGTGCGGTGGTGGTGTTGGTTGGTGGTCATGGGAGTGTGGTGGTGGTGTGATGTGGTGTTGGTTGGTGGTCACGGGAGTGCGGTGGTGGTTGGTGGTGTGAATTTTGAATTTTGCCGCTTACAACGGTTAGTTTATTGTGCTCCCCAAAGTCATCCTGTAAGCGTTAGCACAAAAGGATTACAGAGTAGAGTTTACTAAGGGTCAGAATAATTAACCCTCTGGTGAGGATATTATATCATTTTATGTTACACAGTATTTCAAAGAAATTCTTTGTTTAGTTATACTTATACATAAAGGGTAACTTATTCACAACTGCGTGAGTACAGCAGAGTGAGGCAATATGTCTGGCCGCACACTTTGTTATTCACATTGCGTGAGAGGTATTCAAGCACATCATGTGTTTGGTTCTATATATGGGAGCTAATGTAGCTACTTGGTGCAAAAAAATTGGATGCAATCTTATGTCAGCTATCTTGCCATTAGAGATGAAGCATTGTGCCATTTCACACACAGTGTGCTTGGACCTGTCCCTAAAAGGTTCTATTTTGACACAGTCGAGGATGTAGTGTTCAAGTGTGTGCAGGGCCGGATTTACCTACTTGTGGGCCCCAGGCCAAACTCATCAGTGGGCCCCCAAATTTATAAAAATGTTTGCATGTTTCAAAAATCAATAAACTGTATATATATATATATATATATATATATATATATATATATATATATATATATATATATATATATATATATATATATATATATATATATATATATATATATATATATATATATATATATATATATATATATATATATATATATATATATATATATATATATATATATATATATATATATATATATATATATATATATATATATATACAGTTGTACCCCACTTAACGCGGTCAATTGAACCCAGAGGGTCCCGCGTTAAGTGAAATCCACATTAAGTGAACAACAGAACATATGGGATTAATTCCAATAGAAACCGGCCCGACCCCCAAACTCCACTTTTTGAAGGCACATACCTATGTTGTATTAAAAATAACATCTTAATTTTATGATGGTACATGCACACAATTAATACTTAAGAGAAATAGAGAAATACAGTCGCCAAGTTAATGTCCATTCAAATAATGGACTCAACCTTGCCTCCCCCCCTCTTCCAACCGCGCGGTCAGTCCCAACTCTCCCCCCCACCCCCCACCAATCCTCCATTCCAGGGTTTTTAACATTTAGTATTAAATAATACCTCAGATTAAAGTTAGGATAATATAATTGACATTGCTGGATTCCTTGTAAGACCAGGAATATTTTGAATATAAATGTCATATATTTTGCACAAAAGATAACATAGCTAATTTGAGAAAAAATTTTATCTAAAATTTGTATGTCTAATGCAAAAATATGATGTTTATATTCAAAATGATCATCAAATTATAAGAATTCCAGCAATGTAAATTATATTCAGACCGGATAATTTGTATGAATTTTATGAGCTAAAACAAATATCTTCAGTTAATAAAAAAAATAATAATTCTTCACAGGGTAACAGATGGTCGGTCGGTCCCTCCCTCCCCCCCACCCCCCACCAACCTTCCCAAGGAGATGTGTGGGATAACCACTAAATTTTAATAAATAATACCTCAAACTAAAGTTAGTTTAATATAATTGACATTGCTGGATTCCTTGTAAGACCAGGAATATTTTGAATATAAATGTCATATATTTTGCACAAAAGATAACATAGTTAATTTGATAAAAAATTTTATCTAAAATTTGTATGTCTAATGCAAAAATATGATGTTTATATTCAAAATGATCATCAAATTATAAGAATTCCAGCAATGTAAATTATATTCAGACCGGGTAATTTGTATGAATTTTATGAGCTAAAACAAATATCTTCAGTTAATAAAAAAAAAAATAATTCTTCACAGGGTAACAGATGGTCGGTCGGTCCCTCCCTCCTCCCCACCCCCCCACCAACCGTCCCAAGGAGATGTGTGGGATAACCACTAAATTTTAATAAATAATACCTCAAACTAAAGTTAGGATAATATAATTGACATTGCTGGATTCCTTGTAAGACCAGGAATATTTTGAATATAAATGTCATATATTTTGCACAAAAGATAACATAGTTAATTTGAGAAAAAATTTTATCTAAAATTTGTATGTCTAATGCAAAAATATGATGTTTATATTCAAAATGATCACCAAATTATAAGAATTCCAGCAATGTAAATTATATTCCGGCCGGGTAATTTGTATGAATTTTATGAGCTAAAACAGGCAGTCAGGCAGGGTGGGGCAAATCTAAAAATAGCGTCTTCGAGCCGGACACTCACCGCGTATATGTGGAAAAATCCGTGTTAAGTGAAAGTTCAGCTCTGGCGAGGCACCGCGTATATGATAAAACGCGTTAAGTGAAACCGCGTTAGGCGGGGTAATACTGTGTATATATATATATATATATATATATATATATATATATATATATATATATATATATATATATATATATATATATATATATATATATATATATATATATATATATATATATATATATATATATATATATATATATATATATATATATATATATATATATATATATATATATATATATATATATATATATATATATAATCAACACCTCAACCCACCAGGATTCGAACCCACGGCACACAAGCCTATGACTGTGACCGGGGAACGCTAACCACTGGACCACCAGGATACTAAAAACAGTCCTAGACTTTGTTATATTTCACACAAAGCCTGTTCAACGAGCTTATGGCGCCGTGAACGGATTTGGTAAAACGTTACTCTGACCACCTAAGTGATACGGGTGGTCCCCATTAGAGGTTCACGGCGCCATAAGCTCGTTGAACAGGCTTTGTGTGAAATATAACAAAGTCTAAGACTGCTTTTAGTATCCTGGTGGTCCAGTGGTTAGCGTTCCCCGGTCACAGTCATAGGCTTGTGTGTCGTGGGTTCGAATCCTGGTGGGTTGAGGTGTTGATTGTATGTAGAAGTCCACGTGCTTTATTGGGCTAAATATATATATATATATATATATATATATATATATATATATATATATATATATATATATATATATATATATATGTAATACTCAGAAATTTCAGAATAATTTCGAATGCCCCGCCATTGGCAACACTGAGCGTTCAAGGTCATCTGAGGGGAGAGAGCGCTTCCTGTTCACAGCGAGAGATGGTGGAACTAGGCCTATATGATATTAAATGTAATTCACCGAATTAATAATGATGCGATTCATGAAGTAAGGGACTATTATTGAATTTGAAATTATTATAGATCGTTTATCAGTCTGAATAATGTTACGGGTGTCCCAAGGAGTTATTAGTTAGGCGGAAAATATGTCACGTAGACCTAAGCT